TATTTAAATATAATATATCCTAGACTGACAAATCATCTCCGTTCAGAATCGTTTTTCGTATACAATGATACCTATCATTGCATTCAAATCTAACCTACCCTAGTCAGAGGTCCACCCCACCACCTAATGTACAGCAGAGCGATTCCCACTTTCCTGCTTTTTTTTTTAATATTCATAATAACATAAATTATAAGTTAAAATGTCAATGATTAAATATTAAATAGGTAGTAAATATTAMAAAATCAACCACATCCTTTACCCTCGTGATGAAATTATTTGACTGTCACATAATATATTATATTTTTTGAAAATAAACACTGTTTCATATTTAAAAACGGTGTTTACTTTSTATTACTCGAACGATATATCAATTATTAATTTTATCAAATATTTCCGTATTGACTGAACCAAAAATGTGATATCGAATTTTGAATGAAACAAGCGGTTAAAAAAATCTAAAATTTAATCAGAATAACATAATAATCCGCTCTTGGCACATAACAGGTCAACTAATTACAATAATACAATATACCTAGTCTATTGTGAATTCACTTCTAATAATGCTGTGACTCTTCAATCGATTCGTTGCGGTAACAATACGTGTGTATGCTACGCATTGGAATTTTCACTCACAATGCRGGGTGGACTTCTAAACGTTAAAATGTCAGACACGGTGAGCACTTTTTTAAGTCCTGACCTAGGCCACCAGAGATAGGTACTAAACCTGAACAATCGCCACATTGTCTGCCCGTTGAAAAATCGCTATAAATGTAAAATGACTATACCCACCGGTAACAAATCCATCCATTAGTGTGAAAACCCACAGGCAGCCACCCCTCAAACGCCAACATGTTATTCGATTCCTCCGAGACGTCATTGCTTTTGGTTGACATCGGTATTATGTAGGTGTACGACGACCCTACTCGGCAGTAGGTTCGCCAACGCTAGATGATTTTACGCGATCGTAATATTATATGAGTCCACCAACGTCAATAGGTATATTATTATTATTATTAACGGCAATAATATAAATCTTATGTAACACCAACGATAATCGAAACATCTAGTCAAATCTTATTATAATATATAATATGCCACAAGAGAATTCTGTAGAGCTGATTTTATTTTTTTCTACAATTAYACTTATGTTTTTTTGTAAAGAAAAACTTAATTATAAAAAAAATATTTAGAACAAATATTAAACACTTTTAATTTTATTTATTGATTGGTAAATAATAAATGTTATGTAGGTATATTCACTATATTATGTACTTTTGTATCATACTTTTCAACATTTTTCAATCATCAGTAAAAGTTATTAGAAATGTTTTCGAAAACAAGATTAAAATTATTTAATTAGTACTATAAAAATGTTTAGCCCTTTATCGACTGTATCTATCWATGTTATATTCGGTGCGTACGAATTGCGTCCCGAGTTTTTTTCGAGAACGGTTTAATTGCGTCCTCATTATGGGCAGAATACTCGGATATAACTATTATACGAACTACTAATAGTTGTGAAGCTTATCATTTGAAGCTCAACGATATGTTTTATAATGCATATCCAAACATTTTTCAATTTATAAATATTCTGAAAAGGTCACAAACTGATATTTATATAAAACAACGGAGCACTCACTTAAAGCACCGTACAATATCGATGATTAATATAGAACAATTTTTAAAACAAGCAATGGCAGATTTTCAATCAAAAAAATTAGTAGATTTGAATTCATAAGAAAGTTATCTTTTAAATTTTTACCAATATCATAATATTTTTTACTACTTACGACTTACGCTTATATTTGTATACAGTTATTATTATACAATTTGTTTTACTACAGTTTATATTTCTATATTTTTAAATATTTTTATACATTTAAAATTATAAATGCAATAAATAATATAAAAATCAAAAACAATATTTTTAACCACCTATAGTAGTAGTTATTATGTTAATATTATTACAGACAGTTCTATGTCTGTATAAAAATGAGAAGGGAAATATTGTTTAGTTTTTAAAATGTACGAGACGCATTTGGTATGCACAAAAAAAAATCGGGACGCAACTAGTATAACTCCAAAAAATAACTGGGACGTAATTAGTATGACCCTAGAAAATACCTGGGACGCAATTCGGGAGGAATTGGTGCCGAGAGACGCAATTCGTATGYAGCCGTTGTATTATTTATTATTGGAAAGTGTAAGATTTTGATTCTCTTGGTAATCGTTTTTTAATACGTAATAACACTAATAACAGTAATCAGACATAGGCTTTCTATAGTAATTCTTTACGATGACGAAAAAATTTAAGTATTTAATGCAGTACTATTGTCACTTGTCAGAGCTCTACCTAGACATTTTGGGGCTCAAATATAATTTTCTAGGTGTACCTGTCAACTAAAATTTTACATGCCACTGCATTGAGTTTCGTCAATTGTGCCGTTATGTTATAATGTTTTTATATATTTAAAATAATCGATTTTTAAAATATTTAGCTCTCTGCAGTCTAAAAATATTGTGGTGCAAAGAGTTAAATGTAAACACAAAATGTCTTGTATTCAGCATTAGATAACGAATCGAAACAAAGTTTACTTTTGCGATCTTAAGCAATTTATTTATTGAATCGACTTTGTGTAATATAGCTAGTACCGAACACATATATTTATTATAATACTGGGTTGGTTTTAAAAGATATTTTAAGTTTTTTTACACTGTAAATAAGTATATCTTTATCATTTTATACTCCGAAACAGAATGTTATTCCGAAATTGAATTTCGAACGAGTAATTAATTAGTTAGGATTTTATTAATATTAACCTTTTTGATGAACGGAGTAATAGACTAAAATTTTGTGAGCCATTCCACACCACTTGTCTATAAACTTAAAGTTTAATATAACAATTACAATTTACTAATTAAAATTATTATTAGGTAATTAACTTTGGTTCGAAATTTTATTTTTATATGTTGACATTTTCTAATATTAATTTATAAATGAATATGRTATGCTTCGAAAAAGTGTAAAGTTTTAAATATACCTAAAGACCATATTTTAAAATTCTTGAATTTTTTTGTAATACTTAAGAATTGATCTATGGTGCATAAGTTTGTATAACTTTTGTTTTTCAAATAAGAATTCACTTTTCTACTGTAAATTATTTAGTGGATAACTTTTTGGAACATTTTTATGTTGAATTCCTATAGTAATCTCACTATAAATATTTATTATTTGCGTTATCATTATTATATTATTATTGTTGTTGTTTTATTATCATGTTCATATTATACTGGTTACTGTTTTTGTAGTAGTACAATTTTGATTACTCGCTTAGCCACATGCTATTCTTTGTGTTTTTTCCTTCATTATAAGTCTAATATACAATTAAAATATTCTTTTTATTTAAAATAAATTTCTATTCAGCAAACTCAATATTTTATTCTTTTCCTTAATTCAAAGTTTAACTAGTACCTAGTCTTTTAGTTAGGTACCTAATGGTTCTACAAGGATAAACGATAAAAGGTAGTCATTAAAAATAGTTGAAAAATATATATATAAAATATATGTTAAATTTAGTATACTCRGGACTATTTTTGCAAATTATTTATGTTGATTGGTTAAAATAATTTRCTAAAARTGTTTAAGTCGTATTATTCGTATATTCCAAACCCATTACCATATCCTTACTCCTTAGTCCACAATTAAGTCAAGTAACTCAAAAACTACTCGTTCGAATTTTGATTCTGGTACGTGACCATTTTCAGAAACATTATACACTAAATAATATACTGTTGAAAAGAGAGGTTATCGTTTGAAAACAAAAAATTATAATAGGATACTCACTGTTGAGRATCATCAATGAAAAATAAAAAATACGAAAAATCTCAAGCTTTTAAAACATGGTCATAATAGCATAATAATAATAAATTTGAAAAATCAAGTTTTGGAAAACTGCGAATGATTGAAGAAAAAACGGGGGTTGATTATGGTCGATGAAACATCATGTAGGTACGTGAAAATTGAAGAATTAAATAGGATTACGAAGAAACATGATTGGTTTTTGTGTATTGCTTCTATTTTAGTAGCCAGAGCAGGTGGTACTAGGTACCCACTTTAACTGAAGCTCCCAAAAGCCAACAAGTAATTGTATGTCTAATTTTATTTCGTAAATAAAAATAAAAAATAACAACATACAGACACTATATATACATGCGTACGTTTCATGGCTATGACTTTGCCGCGTGTTTGTTAATACAGGATAGTAGGTAGTTGATTGTATATGATGAAATCGGTGGAACTGATATTGATATACCTACTCGTATGATTAACTTGTATTAGTTCATACTCAAGACAACTAAATATATATAAACGATAAAAGATGGTTTAAAGTAAATAATTTTCTCGTTATCATCTATAAGATATAAATTACATTAAGTACCTAAGGTAAATAAAATAAAAGATATATATTATGTAGTATATATTACTTATATACATATATAATATGATATAAATTGTGTTATAAATAATACATAAAAACGTAGGTTAATGTTCAATTATAACGGAACGTATTTTTTTTTCGTTTTAAAGTTAGTATAATATATAGGTACCATGAATGTAATGTACTAAACAACTRTATATTTTCGTTATCGATATACGTTTTTATATACACTCACACGAATTCAAGAGCCATTATGATACTTGTTAAAAAATAAGCACATACCAAATAATTCTTAATTCACAACAAACGATTATTAGCAATATTTGTGCGTCTTGGATAGTCAATCATTAGCCAAGACTGAGTTAACACGTATAGTTGTATATGGTGGTCAATCCATAATAATATTGAGACTGCTATTTATTTTATTTTTTTTTATGAGTAGGTACCTACACTGATTTTTAAAAATGTTAAATTTTAAAATTAATAATCGACATCTGAAGCTTGTGAGTATGATGAAATACAGCTTCCTATACAATATTATCATCAATGAACTGTTTTCATTTCAATTTTAGGTATTATGCACTGTTTTAATGTCAAGCCACCAACTTGTCGTCGGATGTTCTTACGTATTCGCATCTATTCTTCTGTCTAAATTAAAAGAACCAACGTCTACGATAAAAATTGATTCTGAAGATTCCTCATGGATAGGTAAATTCATTTATCGTTAATATATTCTACACAAAAATAATAATTTATTTTATACAACGACCAGAAATAAATGCTTATACTATTTTCAATATAATTGTCAGTTGTTCGCGTCTTATTCTCAAATGTTTTGAAAAAAAAATAATACAATTGTTAAATGCATATTAAATGTGTGTGTTGTAGTGATAATGTATAACATTAAGTAATAGAATAACAGTGTGATTTTTGATTACAAAGCCTAAATATGATATTTATGATTATTATCAATCATCAAATGTTTAAATCATTAGCTAGATGTCGATTGGCTTTGGTTTAACAGTCTACAAGCAAATATCGGGGTACCTATATATGTAGGTACGTTACTAGTAAGTTATTACACATAATAATATTATATTAAATTGCAATAATAAATAATACAAATTATCCTGCAATCTTGTTCCGTTACATAATTTWAAAAAAAAATTTATATTTCTTTATCTATATAGATAGTTGTTTTAATTCTCTATCGAGTTCGTAGTAAAAAGTTCATTTTTCCGTTAAAAAKGTTTATAATTTGATTGAAAAAAATTCAAAAGGCGGTGTTTGATATATTTAGTGATTGAAAATTTCATGAAATTTAAAAAAATGAAATATTTCAATTATCATTATTTTTGTAGTTTTGTCTTGTAAAATATTAAATAATTAATCTAAATAAATTAAATACCTCATTAGTCATTGGCACACATATTTTTTATGTATAATAATATGTTGTATTTTTTTTGCTGTACCTATTATTTGATGTAAAAATGTAAAATAAGTAAAGAATAGGSAGGTATCGTATATTGTATATGTAGTATGAACGTGGTTACTTATATAGTTATATAGTTATATGTTAAAAATCAGATCAGAGTTTTCTTGATTGTGAATCTTTATGACATTTATTTGTATAGGAAACCAGTACTTTAGGTATATATTATAAAGATCATAGTTTTCTTACTAATAATCAACATGTTAAATATAACAAAAAACATAATAAAAATATTAAATATAATAATTAATAAATATTGAAAAGAAACATTAAAGACCTGATTTTTAGGAAACCGGTACTGAGGTAGTGAGGTATATTAGTATATATTATAAAGATCATAGTTTTTTTGCTAATGAACTTGAAATAATATAAATTATAATTACTGTAATCTAGTTATCTCCTRAATTGGTGAGAAGATAAAATTAATAATGCAGTAGTGCCAAATTGTGAAATAATTAATAAAAATCTAATATTTCACAAAACATTGAAATATTTCTCATACTTCAAACACTAGATATATTCATATTAATATGTACAATATTTACATAATATCATTTTATACTTCAGATAGGTTTAAAAATGTAACTGTATTTACAAGTGTTCTTTTCGTATCTGTCATTTTAATAACACTGTTAATTTTTTATATTTTTATCATTTAATATACGTACAATAATCTTTAGGTGATATCTAGTTGAAAGAAACAAATATGATCCTTCGAAAAGGCMTTCCTCAATTTTATATTTCAGACAGATTTAAACAGTTAACTAAATAGTGACTATATATTTCTTTTATTTTTCAACTGCTATTGTAACAATGTGTTAGAAGCCTTGTATTAAATTTTCAAATCTTAGAAATAAAAAGAAAAACTTCAATGAATTTCTATCTAAGATAATTTGAACATTGCCGTAATTTTTACGTATTTAGTCAAAATTTGAACTTTAAATGCTTATAAAAAAAAAATTGTGACTATRTATTTMTTTYATTTTTCAACTGCTATTGTAACAATGTGTTAGAAGCCTTGTATTAAATTTTCAAATCTTAGATATAAAAGGAAAATTTTTTATGAATTTCTAGCATAAAATAAT